TCCCTACAGGCCTGTTTGCTTCTGATCTGGAAGTGTGGCCTCGATCGTTCTCAGAGTACTTCTGAACCTCCTAGAATGATCCTAGATTGTGAGAATCACCTGATCATCATCTTCCCATTTGTATGAAGGAGATGCCTACAGCCAGAGCCAGAAAAGGACTCTCCCAAGGCCATTAGCAAAGCAGGGACTCTTCCCCCCAGGCCAGTGGCTTTCTGCCCCTGCTCTTGGGGAGACGCTGGGAATGGCCTCACCTGTGGCTATGTACCAGTGACCTGCTCCTTTTCCCGTCCAGCTAACAAGGGCTGTGGTGTGTGGATGATGTCATCCAGCCTGCCCCATGTCACCAGCAACCACGTCAGCTACAACGGCCTATATGGAGTGGCAGTGTTCAGCCAGAAAGATGGCTCCAGTGAGTTCCCAGGGGGCCATGGGGCCCAGGAGAACTTCAGTGAGGATGGGGACGCCATCCTGTGGGAGACAGAGCTGGAGAAGGAAGACGACCCACTGCGCCGGCCCATCACCATAGCTCTCGTTGAGTCTAACAGTGTCAACCACAACGGAGGTGAGTGTACCCCCAGCCCCTGATTAAGGACCTCCCATGGCTCCACACCGTCTTAAGGGCCCTCTGTGGCCTGGTCCCACCTCACCCTTCCAGACTCATCAGCCACTTCTTTTTGCCACTTCCATGACACCCAAGCCCCTGACTTACTCCCTATCCCTCATGCCCTCACTCCCTGCCACAGCTTCACTCATGCTGTATCTCTTACCTAAGATTCCCATTTCCCACCCACGTGTCCCAAATCAGCTTGAACTGAAACCTGCTCTGAATGAATCCTCCATTCTTCCTTTCTTTGTGCTGTGTTCCCCCCTGTCCCAGTGGCACTTGTTATGAGGCCCCACGGTGTATTATTGGTATTTCTGGGCTGTCTTCAGTTCTGATAGGCTGTGAACTTGAGGCAAAGAACCAAAGCCCAGTCATCTTAGTGCACTCTGCCCCTGCAGGACCAAATACCATTCTTGGCACACATATTTTAAATTAATTCTAAGACACATTTTAACATCTCCGAATAGAACTGTATGGTAGTTGATGACAGCATGGTTTATTTTTTTAATTATTTATTTTATTTAATTTATTTAAATTTGTTGTAGGGCAAATGTGCTAACCAGAGTAAGACAGAGAGAGAGAGGGAAAGCAAGCCACCAGGTTCAGGACTCGAACCATAGTCAGCCATGTAGGAGTTCAGTGCCTTAATCACTGCACCACCAGAGTTCCCAAACCTGACTGACAACCAGAAAGACTGTAGTGGGGTGGAGTGGTAGGGGTGGAGGGTGTCAACAGAAAAAGGCCTATGAAGAATAGATCCCTGGGGGCCAGCAGATGGCATGGTGGTTAAGGCACTGGACTCCTCACATGGCTGACTACGATTTGAATCCCAAACCTGGTAGCTTGAAAATCATGCTTGGTGTGTGAGCATGAGTGCCCATAATCCCAAGAGGAAAATGGAGAAGAAGGGATTGTGATATGGCCATCTCCACTGGGGGGTGATTTCTCACTTTCCCTCTGTCTCTCTCTAGTGAGAGTGCACGCTCCCTGTGGGAAAAAGCTTAAAAAAAAAAAAAAAGATCCCCAGGCTGGCCAGGTGGCATGGTGATTAAGCAGTCCAGTTCCCACACAGTGAAGTATGTGGTTTGAGTCCCAGACTTGATAGCTTGACAAACATGCCAGGTGCATGGCATGTGTGTTCCATATCCCTAGAGGTGAATGGAAGGGAAGGAATTGCGGCATGGCCATCCCCCTGGGCAGTGATTTCTCACTTTTCCTCTCTCTCTCTCTCGCCATATAGCAGAAACTTTAAAAAAAAAAAAAAAAAAAAAAAAAAGATTTCCTAGGCCCTGTAAATGCTTTCCTTTGGAGTGGCAAAGGACAGCCCATTAGTCTGGAAGATGAGCTCTCTCCCCAACTAGTTAGGGTGTCTTCCATGTGGCCTCAGTATCCAGAGGACAAGCAGAGCTGCATAAATAAATTCACAGTAGCTCTTTCGGCTCTTCCCAGCCAAGCCAGGAGAAGCAGCGGGCAGGTGCCGCCAAGAAGTTCACACTTGCACACGCCTGGTTCCTGCTGCTGCATATGATCCGCAGTCCTGTCCTCCACGCGACCTCCCCCCAGACTGCCTCTTGCTCTGACTGTGGGTGGCAGTAGCTACTGCAGAGCCCTCTTCCTCCTGACCCTGGTCTGGCTGCCATGCTTTCCCTTCCTTCCCAAGTCCTGGGGCTCTACCCCTGCTGACTGTGTGATGTCTCTAAGCATGCACAATGCCAACCACCATTTTTCCTTTCAACAATGCCTAACACATTTTAGCTACATATTACTTAGCTTAATACATTTTTCTATTCAAAAGTGATACAATTTCCTTAATGAAGAAAAATTTGTCCAAAGAGTAGTGAAACAAATTCCAGCCCAGGATGGGAAGGAAAACAAAACAACTTTCTGGCTGGTAGGTCTGTCTGTAAGTGGAATGAGCAGCCATGAAGAGGTAGTGAGCTCCCCATCACAGGAGGGGCCAACAACAGAAGATGATCTATAGGAGGCAGGGAAGTGTGGGATGAGAGCGTGGCCCGACGACCATTCGAGTCTGCTCACATCGCATTTCCTGGCCACATGGAGGGAGCAGGGTGTCCTTGTTGCTCCGGGCTCCCTCCCACTGGTTGTCACTAGCTTGGCAGATACAAACCGAGGGTCACCACCTCTTCTTCCCCCGACTCCCCCTGGGGTGCACAATCCAGGCAGGGCTTTCTCTGATGAGTGTTGGCAGGGCTGACTTGGAACCACCCTGTGCTCTCTCTCTGCTGCAGCCTCAGGGCTCTATGTCCAGAGCAGCGAGGCCCTGCACGTCGTCACCAACGTGATCCACGCTAACGGGGACAGGGGCATCACTGTTGCCCAGAGCAGCCAGCTCACGCGTGTAGCCAACAACAGCATCTCCTGCAACCGCCAGAGTGGGGTCAAGGTGGAGGCCCAGTGCAAGGTGGAGCTCCGGGGCAATGGTATCTATGACAACAGAGGCCATGGCATCATCACCAAGGGCGACAGCACTGTCGTCATTGAGAATGACATCATTGGCAACCGGGGCAGCGGGCTTCAGCTGCTGCCCAGGTCTGACACTAAGGTGAGTGTGTACGTGACACAGTGCCATTACCGCACCCAGCTCTGGGACAGTTCTCGTGCCTTCTGCTGAGAAGCAGAACTTCAAGCACTGAGCGCTGCCAGGGGCATCGTTCCTCCTGCCAGAAGTCAGCCTGGCAGATGTGGTGAACTTCACACAGGAGGGGACATAAGATCAGGGCCCTGAAGGATGAATAGGAGTTCACCAGCAGGAAGCCAGTGGTGGGAATGTCACCTCCTAGGTTCATGATGCTGGGAGCCACCTGCTGTTCATCATGGACTCCAGGTCAAGGGCAGGGCTATTTCGGCGACCTTTCCCTAATGAACTTGCACGGGAACTGGTACACAGTAGGTGATTGAGAAGGAACAAAATCCTGCCTGGGGCACACTATTCCCTGTAGCCCTGGAACACCTGCTGTCCCCTTTCTCTACCTCATTCCTCCAGCCTGGCCGTCACTTTCTTCAGGAAGACTCCCTGGTGCCCCCACGCTGTTCAAGGTGCCCCTTTTGCGAATTTCTCTGGTGCACCGCCACCCCTGCCTCATGGAGCACCGTCCACAGTGCTTGAGTCTTTTTCTTTCTGCAAACACTGTGCTGGGGCACCAGGGTTTCAGTGTTAGGCCAAATAGACCCAGTCCCTGTCCTTGTGGACTTAAGATCCCAGAGGTTCTTTATGGCCCTGCAGCTTCATGATTCAATGACAGGCAAGGAATAAAAACTTCCATGGCACGGCGTTTGAGCACTGAGGGAGCAGAGGAAGGGAGAGCGGGGCAGACTCCTGGCCCAGTGGTCCTGGCTTCTGGCACCACCTCCCTTGCTCTGTGCCTGTTAAACTACAACTTACCCATTGCCTCCTCCAGGAAGCCTCTCCTGGACCCTCCAGGCTACTCTCAGTACCCTTTGCTGAGTTCCCGTGGCTCTTTGCTGACCTACCTAGCATATTCTTACCCTTCAGTCTTACAACTCAGGGTCCACTTGCTGGCTCCCCTGCCAGCTGTGAGTTCCTGAGGTGTGACATGCTCTGACTGCCTCTCCCAGGTCATAAAGAACCGGATCCACTCATTCCGGGCCTACGGCATTGCAGTGCGGGGCCGTGCCAGGGCGCTGGTGCAGGAGAACACCATCTTCCAGGGCAAGACCAACAAGACCATCTTTCAGCAGATCTCAAACAACCAAGATTGCATCATGCAAAACAACAAGTTCCTGGTCTTCAAGAAAAAGTAAGCCCCTGGTTGCCTGAAGCAGGCTTTTTGGACCACAGTGAGGCACTGGGGAGCAGCCCAGGCCTGATGACTGTGACTGTCCTTGCTGACTGCACTTCTGCTGGCTCTCAGCTCTGTGTTTGGGCTTTTGTCACGCATGGGCTGAGAACTTGTACTTTCTCTCTAGGAGAAGGAACAGCCTTTTTATTAAGGTTTTGCCATAAGGTGCATACACTTGCCAGAGGGAGGGAAAGGGAAAGTGAGAAATCACCTCCCAGAGTGGATGGCATGCCCTAATCCCTTCTCCACTCAGAGTTCTGGGCACATTTGTGCACCTGTTGTGATTTTCAAGCAACTGGGTCCAGGACTTGAACTGCAGTTGGCCAAGTGGGAGTCCAGCAGCTTAACTACCACACCAGCTGCTGGCCCCAGGAACAAGCTTTTCAAGAATCAAATCTCAGGGGACCAGCAGTTAGCGTAATGGCTATGTCGCTGAACTCCCATGTAGCTGACCATGGTTCCAGTCCCGGACCCGGTGGCTTAAACTCACGCCGGGTGCATGTGCATGCATGCCCAAGATCCTGAGAGGAGAATGGAGGAGAAGGGATTGCGGCATGGCCATCCCCCCGGGGGGTGATTTCTCACTTTCTATTTCTCTGTCTCTCTATGTCTTTCTGGCAAGCACATGCACCCTATAGCAAAACAAACAAACAAACAAACACCTCTCCAAAAAATAATCAAATCCCAGTTTTACTGGTTGCTGGCTGTTTGACTTGGGCCAGTTATTTAATGTCTCTGGGCCTCAATAAAATCCTAATGATGCCTGTTTTGTGACACCAAGTTAAGACTATCTGAGGTATGACAAAAATGTCAGCTGCTGCCACTACTGTTGTCGCCTGTTTTTAATACCTCTGCCTCAGGATTTCACAGTTGGTCCCTGCTTGTCTGCCCCAAATGTTTGTCCTTCCATGTTCCCCATTTCCATGACAGCCCCATCCACTCAGTATTCTGGCATCAAACCTGCCACCACTTCCTCCCTAGTACCAAAGGTCAGGCACCAGGTCCTCTTGATTCTGCTTCTGTAAAGTTATAGTGTCTGGCACCTCCTCTTCCCCAGCTGCCACCACCAAATCCCAGCCTGAGTACCTCAGCCTGACCTACGGCCCATGTTCCATGTACAGCTTTTCATGAATGGACTGTGACCGGGTCATGCGGGGTGTAAAATACTCATAGCGGTGGTGTCATTCGGGTTGGTTAACATCGCCCGTCCTGTTGTGGCAGCCCCTGCCTGGTCTTCCTGCTCTTGGGCCTCCTTCCTCCACTCTGTAGGCTGTCCTAGTTACCCAGCCAGGCTGACCTTCCAAAATGAGGGCTCTGTCATGTCACATCCATTATCAAAACCTTCTGGTACATCCCCATTTTCTCTAGGAGTGACCTTCACACTTTTAGTATTATACACATTCTCAGTAAAAATATTTTTCAAGGCCCAACATGGTGGTACAAACCTGTACCAGGCACCACCATACTAGGCTCAGGCCCCATGCGAGGCCCAGGTTCCCAGACCAACCTGAATAAGCCACACTTGGTAGCACACATCTGTTTTCCTAGCTAATTGGGAGGCTGGGGGCTGGGCACAGGATTGCAGAGGCAAGAGACTATCAAAAACACTTCTCTCTCCCACCCCATACTTCCTGCATGCATGAACACTCACATTTAAAAAAAAAAGTGTGCTTGGAAACTCCTTCACATATTCGCTTATTCATAACAGACATGTGTATTAGTCTATCAGTTTAATTTACATTGTAAATTATGCCTAAAATAGAAAATGTTAAAGTATAAAGTAAACAATAGTGTCTTCCCATACTCCAGCAGCAATGCCGTGGACTCCCTGGAATTCACATTGTCCTCCTACCCTTTTAGAGGCCTCAAGGTACAGGATTCAACCCAGACTTATCAACTTCGCACTGCCCGTGGTGGACTGCCTGTGGACTGCCCAGTCCTAATTTTCCTCCCAGCCTTCTCTCCTCATCGCTCCTTTTCAGGAACTCCTAGTCCCCTGATGCTGAAGGCAAACAAATGCTGACATTGTTCACCATGCCTCTAGGCTTTTTCCTGTCCTCAGATAGCAATCTCTGACTCTGACCACACCTTTTCAATCCTCTCACTGTAATGTCACTGTCATAAAAATACATCAGAGGGAGCAGCAGGTGGTGTGGTAGTGAAGGCACTGGACACTCCCACATGGCCGACCATGGTTCGAATCCTGGGCCTGGTGGCTTGCTTTCTCACTTTCTCTCTCTCTCACATCAAATTTAAATAAATGAAATTAAATCAATAATTCTTTTTTAAAAATACATCTGAGACATTATAGCCTTCAGCAACTTGAGATTTAGTGGATGTAAGTGACAAGTTAATTGTAACTAAACCACAAAACCAAAGCTTCACTATCGTCTGACTTTCTCCATCCTTCATCATCACCACAGGAGCTCACGAGACTGGAAACCTCCAACTTGCATCCCTGTAGATTTGCCTTTTCCAGAATGATCCGTATGAAATAAATCACACGGTATGGAGTCTTTGACTCTCATTGCGTTCTCTGAGCCTGACAAGGTTGAGATTCATTCATGGTGTTGCCCGGAAGCCATTCATTCCTTTTTCTGGCTAAGTAGCATTCCATTGTGTAGATATGCTGTTTATTCATTCATCAGCTGCAGGGTAGTTTCTATTAATAGTTTTTGGTGATTATGAATAAAGCTTCTATAAACATTCTCATACAACTGAAAAAAAGGGAGAAAAAAAGAAAGCCATTGATCTTATCTAGATCCACATTTAAAGAGGGGAAGTTGAGGCCCATAGAGGGACTTGTTCAGGTTACATGCAGATTGGAAGGCAGAGCTGGACTTAGCATGACTTTTGCCCCTTCATTCCACACATCCCACCTCTTTGGGCTATCATGAACTTGAGAGATAAAACCTATACCTGGATATAAACACCCGGATCCAATGATCTGGAGCCAAAGGTAGGACTTCATAGGGCATTCAACAAGTATTCAGAGTATTCATTGACTTTTCTACCTTTCACCTCCAGATCTGACACATGGCGCCTGGTGAACCCACCAGCACGGCCCCACCTTGAAAACTCTCTCAGAGGCCCCTCTGCTGCCCACAGTGGGCAAAAGGTGACAGCCATGGCAACCAGAATCACAGCCCGTGTGGAGGGTGGCTACCACAGCAACCGCAGCATCTTCTGCACCATCCTGTGAGGATAGAGACCTGCCTCAGTGCAGACCCTGCCAGTGCTAGAAGAGTTGAAAGGCGGCTTTTGGGATGGACAGTGCCTGAGAAGACTCCAGGTCCCTCCCTCCCTCCCCACCCTGCTGAAGAAACAGGTCCTAGGCCCCCAGAGACAAAGTACAAGGCGCCTGCAAATCCCTCCAGCTCCACAGCCCTCAGCCGGAAGGGACTTGGGAATGTTTCCAAGGAGAAAAGGCAACAGAAGTTGGTGGGTTTCCAGTCATAATTCTTGTAGAGATTCTGGAGTAGGGGATATCACATGGTACATGGAACTCTTTGGTCAGGACTTTGTTAAGGAAATCATGTTTTATAAATTCTGACCCTTCGTGGGGAAGAGCAGACTTACTCCTGAGAGAGGAAGTGATTCCAGTGAGCTAGAAATAGGTAAGTGCCTCTGAATCTTCCCCTTTCCTAGACCTGTCCCTCTCATCCTTCCCGCGTCTCCTCCCAACACACACACACACACACCCTTTCTGCTGCCTCTGGAGGCTGGAAGAGTTGAGTTTGGTCACTTGAGCCACAGTTCTCTAAGATCTGGACATGGACTAGTGAGGAAGGGGCTTAGGATAGGGACCCCCTGTTGAAAGGCTGTCCCAAGGATGAGGACATGGTGAGCCCAGGAGAGGTGTGTGGCAGGCTTCCTCTTGGCAATTCAGGTTGGTGCTAGGCTAGAGACTGGTGGAATAGGGATGCAAGAGGCTCACCCCATCCTCAAGGAGCTCCCAAACTCAGAGGGACCTCAATTTGGTGTCTGAATAGGACTCCAATCCAGTGAGCATACCCACACTAGCTACCCGCTCCTGAGCACGGGCCTGTGCAGTTGGAGTTACCCAGGCCCCTCATACCTGTCCATGTTGTCATCACTGACTGGTTTCCCCACTCTGTGCCTTGGCTCATGCTCTGTTCCCTCCTGGCATGCCCTTCTCTACTGTCTCTTATGTCCAGGCCCCAGCCATTTTCAGTTAGCTCAGACACTGCCATCTCCCTGCAGCTCTCCTTCCCATCCTTCTGAGCCTCAATGACCCTTCCTCTGCTCCCTCTCAGGGTACTGAGCACTTTCTGCCTTGTTTTGGAACTATCCAGGGCCCTGCCCTCTCCAGTCCACTTGCCTGGGAGCTCCCTGCAAATAGGGTCACACCTTATTCTTTACCCCTCCCCCAGCCTGGTGCCTGAGGAGAGGCAGGCCAGCTCCTAAAGGGCTGTACTGCACTGTACTGTGAACTGAGGTCCCCAAGCCAGGCGGGCTTGACCCCCCACTGCCTGAGGAAGGGGCTGGATGCAGGGCTGGCTCAGCCTGAACAATCCCCTCCCACTTGGCCTTTATGCAGGGCCTCCACTAGCTTGCTGGGGTCACTGTCATGCATTCGGCAGGTGGTGTCCCAGGCTGGTCGTCAGGCCCTAGGTGCTGCTCTGTTGGGTGGGATGGGACTGGGTAGAGGGAGCCAGGAGCAGTGGCTTCTCCCCTGAGGGCCCTGGGCACAGTGTACACTGGCCCCTCACTCCCCAGCAGTCCTTTGCACTTGTTTGGTGGCCTCAGTGTGAGTTGCTGTACAAAATGCTGCCTTTATTTTGTAAGAAATGACTTTTCTGTGAACCAAATACTTATGAAAGTCTCAATAACCAAAATAAAGTTCTATATTTTAAAACAACCACTTTCAGTGGGAGCCTTTTACTTAGCCTGAGTATATATATACTGGCGTTCCCGGCACTGTTTTACCTGTCCCAGACGTATTTCTGCTTCCTCCGAAGGAGACAGGAAACCCCAGGGACCATCTTACCAGTCTAGCTTGCTCCCACAACCATTCCGGATTCAAGGCCAAAGAGCTGCATCTCTGGCGTCTCAGTGTTGTCAATCTGGGATTGTAATTCCAGCAGCTTGACAAACACACGGGGTACGTGTGTGCATGCATGCCCCAAATCCCCACAGCATGGAGATATGGGGAAGGGACTATGGCATGACCACACCTCATTGAGGGGGTGCTTTCTCCCTCTTTGGTAATTTAAAAAAGAGACACTTCGAAGAATTTTTTTCTAATTAGCAATTTCCTGGTTAAGGTCTGCAAATGTGCTAAATATTTCTTTCATTTCATCCCTGTTAACAGTGTCTAACAGGACAGGGCTATAGGTAGAGACCTCCCTCCAGGGAATATTTTGTCAGTCAATCCATAAATTAAGATTATCTTAAAGGTACGAGCACCTAGCCTGTAGTTCCCCTTCAGTGAGGATATTGATCAACATTCTGGCTATAATAACTTGGGGAGATCAGGGTATCCTCTATGAACATATTAGTAAACAAACAGGTTTTTAGATCTAGAGGAAACCAAATATACTTCCATTACCCTGAGAGTTTAGCGGCCAATAACACTGCCACGCAGAGAAAGCACTGTTCGTGTACTGACAATGGACACTGCCACTTACGCGTCTGGCATTGTCTAGAGGCTCACTTGAGCCTAGTTCATGTTGAACAGGACCCTCTTTCGAGCCTTTCCTAAGGACCCACAACCCCTTTATGTATAGAAATTTGCTTTTCAAACAACCTCAGAATGCATCGCCTAGACCTAGTATGGTGCACCTGCTGCTCAGGACAGATACTTATTTTCCATCCTAGACCTCATCAGTACTGCCAGTCTTCACGTGAGTGACAGGACAGGCAGCTTCAGCCTGGTGAGGTCTTTTGGTCCTTGACTCCCCAGGCCTCCCCTCCCAAGTCCCCATGCATGTAAACTAACACGAGAAACATGTGCCATTATAATCACAGCAACACCAAAGGAGGGGGTGAAGTCCAGTCTGGCCACCACTTCGTATTTCTGCATAAGACAAGCACGACTGAGATGCTGGCTTCTGGCTTCACAGTCATGCCCAAGTAAGGCTTCGTTTCTCCTTTCTTTTAAAAATAAAAATGGAAATGAATAGAAACAGTGGCTATGATGTGGCCCAAATGCTCTGCCTGGAAAGCACACATCTAGGTAATCTTCCTCCGCTTTGACTGGCGATCCGAAGTCTGGGGTGGAGGCAGCGGGATGGAAAGGGTGCCCAGCTTGTGGTCTTCTTCCCTGCCGGCTGCCAGAGACACCTTTCTTTTCGAGATCTTCAGCCTCATGGCTTTTGCTATCTCAATCATCCTACAAGAAACAAACAGACAAATGGAGAGACATCCCTCAACGTGACTGTCCAGGGAGGTCTGACAGGAGGGACCAGCCCCTTTATGCTCAGGCTGTGAAGACAGAATCCCGAAAGTGGCCAGCTGGGGGAAAGTTCCCTGCAGAGAGGTGAACAAGACCCAGACCCCCAGACAGCAGGCAATTTCATTTTAATGTGTTGCCATTACAAAATATGGATGTAGGTGATGGAAACCAGGCCATCTAGATCCCTATTCATGACTTTCTTTACTGCTGATAACCAAACTATAAAGTATAACCAGAAGAGCCAGCAGGTGGCATGTGGTTAAGGCACTGGACTCCCATGTGGCCGACCACAGTTCAAGTCCCAGAACTGGCAGCTTGCTTTCTCTTTCTCCCTGGTCAAGTTGAAGAATAGTAAGCAAATAAAGAAATAATTTTTAAAGAATTATTTACTTTAATTTTATTTATTCATTCATTTATTTTAATTTGACCAGAGAGCGAGAGAGAGAGGGAAAGTGAGAAAGCAAGCCTCTACCAGCTCTCCCAGTAAGTTAGAGGAACTTCAACATGACATCTCTGCCAATGGGCGGTTCCACCTTCGTTCAACACCTTCCCTGGCAACAAAACTTCCCATCTGACTCTCCTTGGTTACAGCCACTCAGAGGATGGAGGCTGCTCCATCCTAGGCTGCTATTCAGGACCAGGATGCTGTGTGAAGGCTCAGGTTTAGAACCCAACTATTTCCCTCCTGGTTGTGTGACTTTGGGAGTCATTTACTTTTCCTTTCTTTGTTTTTTCGGGGGGAGGGGTAGAGTTTTTTGCCTTAGGACACGTGCACTGGCCAGAGAGAGCCAGTGAGAGGGAAAGTGAGAAGTCACCCCCAGTAGGAATGGCCACACTGTGATCGCATCTCCTTCAGCCTCCTTCCAGAATCTTGGGCATACACACACCGGCATGAGTTTTGAACCACCAGGTCCAGAACTCAAACTGCGGTTAGCCATCATGGAGTCCAGCAATGTAGCCATTAGGCGATCTGCAACCCCACCCCCCAATTTACTTTTCTAAACCTTAGATTCTTGGACTGGTTTTTAGAGAAATCAATGAGATAATATGACAATAAGATAGTGTGTCCAGCAAGGACAAGGCATTCAGTAAGCCTAGAAGCTGATTCAGTCACTCACTCATTCACTGAAAATGGTTCTCTGATCCTGTGTTTCCCATGTTAAATATCCCCAGTGCCCTTGATGGTGCCTCATGCTTCCCTGGCACTAGAAATAAATCAAGGCACCCCACAGGGACCTTTTCATTGTGCGGTGCTCACCTTTTTTCACTGAGCTTCAAGTCTCTTTGTAACATTGTCAGGTCGATCTGGAAGTCATTTATGTGTAAGGCTAGTATGATTACATAAGCAGTGATCTTTGCCTTCATAGAATCTGAAATTAAGTTCCGCAAACTGTAAAACAGAGGAAAAACAAAATTAAACTCTAAGACACTTCTCCAAAAGCAAAATGAGAACATCCAAGCCTACTCCGCTATGCACTCAATGTCTTACCAACCTGTGAAAACAAAAAGGAACTGAGGCAACTTCCCTTATCCCTCCCAGGTGCCTGATCCCCCACTTGGTGGAGCAGTGAGCCAACCCCCATGTTTCTCTGCAGGTAGGACAAAGAAGGCTGTGCCGACACCTTCCCGGGAACAGTCAGAGCTCTGCACAGGTGGCACTGCTGGGTCTGTCCCCAGCTGCTCAGCAGAGCTGCTGGGCAGTCACCCCACACTTTGGTGCTGATGGTTCTTCCAAGCAAACTCAGAAACCAGAAACACACTCCAAGCAAATGGCAGGAGAGAAGCCCGGGGTGCCACTTGGGCTTCTTCTCCAACATCACATTGGCCCAGCCTTTCTTCCAACACTGCTTTTCCACAGAACATTGGTTCTGTGGGACATTAGGAAGGGTCCCTCAAAAGAAGTGTGAAAAGTGAAGTATGAGGCCAGCAGATGGCATAGCAGTTACATCGCTGGACTGCCACATGGTTGACTGCATTCAAGTCCTACACTTGGTGGCTTGAAACACATGCCAGGTGTGTACGTGCATGCATGCTCAAGATCCCAGGAGAAGAAGAATGGAGATGGGACTGCAGTGTGATCAACTCCCCTAGGGGGTAGTTTCTAACTTTCCCTCTCACTGTCTCTGTCTCACTGGTGAGTGCACGTGCCCTAAGGCAAAAACTTCTAAAAAATAGAAGTTGGGACCAGCAGTTCGCGTAATGGCTATGTTACTGGACTCCCATGTAGTCGATCACGGTTCAAGTCCCAGACCCAATGGCTTAAACTCATGCCGGGTGCATGTGCGTGCGTGCTCAAGATCCTGAGAGGAGAATGGAGGAGAAGGGATTGCGGTGTGGCCATCCCGCCTGGGGGGTGATTTCTTGCTTTCTGTCTCTCTGTCTCTTTCTGGTGAGTACATGCGCCCTATAGCAAAAATCTCTCCAAAAAAATAAATACATACATACATAGATAATACATAAATAAGAAAAGAAAAGTGAAGTAAGTATTATAGACATCCCAGAGCCCTCAGGATACCCAAAGCTAAAATGAGCTTTTTCAAGGGGGCTGGAGTATGTAATACACTCTCTCCCAAACTCACTAAACCACTTTAAATGGCAGCAATCTCTTCAGTACTGCATCTCACAGACATGGAACTGAATCCAAATCCCCACTCCTCACTCCCACCCCCCTGCTTTCTCCTTTATAGGAAAATACCCCAGAAATCAAGACTCCTGACCTGCCATTGTTGTAAGTCAAACAGGTAAAGTTCTTCAGCAGTTTGGTATTGATGATGTGTGGAATGCCAGGTCCCAGGGCACCTACAACACAAAGTTGAGTTTGATCACTTTGCAAACCCTCAGGTATGCCACTTTGAAAAGAAATATGCTCAGCCTGAAGGTCACACATGCAAGAGATGTTTGTGAAGGGGCAGCAACAAGAGAAGACAGATGTGAGCAAAGCCTAAGGACACAGAATTAAAAAGATGTTAGATAAAACAGACTATGGAGGGGCCAGCAGGTGGAATGGTGGTTAAGGGTGCTGGACTCCCACATGGCTGACCCCAGTTCAAATCCTGAACCTGGTGGCTTGCTTTCTCACTTTCCCTCTCTCTCTCTCTCTCTCTCTCTCTCTTTCTCTGATCAAATTAAAATTAATAAATACAATAAAATAAAATAATTATTAAAAAAAAAAAAAAAACAGACCGTAGAGAAAGTCTGGGAAGAGAGGGAGGAAAGGATATTGGAAAATGAAAATGAGAACCAAACAAAACCTGGAAAACTTCTGGTGTCTGATCGCTGTCCTGCTGGGTTTCCGGCACTGGCAGCACTGGGTGTGTGGGTGTGTGACAAATGGTCCTAGCCAGGTGACTGGGATAGCCATCAGATGCTAACTCCCTCCTCTAAGAGTTAGAAATAAGCTGACATGGGCCAGCTGCAGTGGCATGGTGGTAATGTAACACTCTGCAATGCCGAGCCCACGTGGGAAGGGGCCAGGTTCATATCCTGTGGTCTCCTTGTACATACTTGGCAAATGCATGCCTGTGATCTGGGCTGGTGGAAGCTAGAGTGGACTAAAACATGCAGTCCTTGTTGGCGTTGCCTGTCTCAGTCTCCTTCACCATCTCTTTAACGGGAAAATAAATTTTAAAAAGAAGGGGGGAGGGGGAAGCAAAGCAACATAACACAGGTCCATCAAACTTTTGTGAGCAATGCTAATGCCAATTTTTTTTTTATATATACTTCATTTTTGTTCTAACAGTCCCTTAAAACTTGTGTATTTGTTTGTTTCTTTTTTGTTTGTTTTGGAGAGGTTTTTGCTATAGGGTGCATGTGCTTGCCAGAAAGACAGAGACAGACAGAGAGACAGAAAGAGAGATATCACCTCCTAAGGGGGGGGTTGGCCATACCACAATGCCGTCTCCTCCATTCTCCTCTCGGGATCTTGGGCACACGTGCGCATGCGCCCGGTTTGAGTTTAAGCCACCGGGTCTGGGACTCAAACCACGGTTGACTATGGGAATCCAGCGACATAGCCATTACGCCAATTGCTGGTCCCAAAACTTGCGTTTGTTTTGACCTGGTTACTATACTTCGCCTATGGCAGAACAGAAAGGCCTGATGCCATTTGTCCCCATTTTCAGATGAGGAAATGGAGATCCAGACAGAAAGAAGAGCTTGGTGGGCCCTCTCACATGTCTGCAGTACCCACAGGAGTCTCACTGCTGCAGAGCTGAAATGAAGCCTTGAACGGACCATCCACTCCTTCACTCATCAGAGCTGACTGAAGAAGCACAGACAAATAACGAACTGGAAATAACAAATACAATGTCCATCAAGGGCTTACTCTTCCGCTTAATCACTTTCTGGGCTCGAAATTTGATGAGGGTGTCTAGAAACCATATGCATCGGGCCTGGTGGTCTCGGCTCTCCTCATTTGATGGCAAAGACTTCAATGCTTCTATGACAAAGGAGCAGTGGCTAAAATAAAGCAGGGAAAGGGAGGAATGTGTCAAGGTAAGACAGGCTCCATCAGAACAATCTCCCCCTCAGAGAACAGCAGGTTCCTTTCATCCCTGGTACCCTCAGCCCTCCTTAGCCCAGGAGCATAGTTCAGTATAAGGCTAGACGATACACATTTTCAGGCTTTGTGGGCCATACTGTCTCTGCTATAACTACTTAACTCTGCTCTGACAGTACAAAGCCAGCCGTAGGAATTACTTAAATAGGTGAACAAGGCTGTGTTCCAATAAAACTTCACTCACACTTTATTCATTCACAGGGAGTGGACATTTGGCATGCAGGCCCCAGATTATGGAGGGAACAGAGGTTCTGAAATCAGACTGCCTGGGTTTGAGCCCATTCTCTGCCATTTAATGGCTTAAGCAGGTTTTTTTTACACCTCTGGGGCCAAAGATAGGACCCTCCTCCTAACATTATTTTTCTAGATTAAAAGAGATACTTCAGGGGCCAGAAAATGGTGGTTAAGGCACTGGACTCCCACATGGCCAACCACGGTTCAAGTCCCTGACCTGGCAGCTTGCTTTCTCTTTCCTTTTCTGTTTCTCTTTGGTGAGTGGACATGCCCTAGAGCAAATTAAAAAGTAATACTAATAAATGCAATTAAATAAGTAATTCTTTTAAAAAAATACAAGTTTATTTAAAAAAAAAAAAGACACCACAAGCAAAGGACTAGATCAACATTAACTTCAGTTTGCTTGTTTTAGGTTTTTGCCATAGGGCATGTGCACTCACTGGAGAGAGAGAGAGAGACAGAGAAAAAGGAAAAGTGAGAAATCACCCTCCAGAAAGGATGGTCATGCCACAATCCTTCTCCTCCATTCTCGTCTTGGTTTGGGCATGCACACACACGAGCTCAGTGTGATTTTCAAGCTGCTGGGTCTGGGGCCTAACCTGTGTTTGGCCATTTAAGAATCCAATGCCTTAACCAACATGCCACCTGCTGGTCCCTTATTCTTCTTAATATTTTAAAGGTTTTTGTCATAGGGCACATGTGTTTGCCTGAGAGGAAAGAGACAGAGACAGTAAGAGGAAAAGTGAGAAATCTAACTACCCCCCTGCCCTGAGGGGGCACTGCAATCCCTTCTCCTCCATTATCCTCCTACAGGCTAGGCACATATGCACATGTGCCAGCGTGAGCCTCAAGTCTCCAGATCTGGGACTTGAACTGTGGTTGGCCATGTAGGATACCAGTGCCATAACCACCACGCCACCTGCTGGCTCCTTAACTATTATTCTGATGTTCTGTTCTAACACTAACAGGATCCTAGACTCACAGAGATAAAGAGGCTCTTCAAGGGATCAGTAGATGACATAATAATGGTTATGTTGCTGGACTCCCATGTAGTTGACAATGGTTCGAGTCCTGGACCCAGTGGCTTAAAACTCACATCAGGCGTGTGTGCAAGTGTGCCCAAAGTCCGAAGAGGAGAAAGGAAAAGAAGGGATTATGGTGGACCAACCCCCCTGGGGGGGGTGATTTCCTGCTTTCTGTCTCTCTCTCTGACTCTCCAGCAAGCACATGTGCCCTATAGCAAAAACCTCTCTTTAAAAAAGAAAAAGACTCTTCAAAATTATCTTATGGGACCAGCAGATGGCATAATGGTTACATCACATGCAGTCAACCATGGTTCAAGTACTGAACCTGGTGGCTTAAAACTCACACTGGGTCCATGTGTGTGCACGCCCAAAATCCTGAGAAGAGAATGGAAGAGAAGGGATTGTGGCATGTCCATCCCCTCCCAGGGGAGATTTTTCTCACTTTCCCTGTCCCTTGGGCACATGTGCCCTATTGCAAAAATTTAAAAATAAAATACATAAACTTAAGGATAGGAAATCTCACTCAGCACATCGACAAAGGAAAAATCAACACTCGTGCCTGCACCCACTTCCAGGCCAGCACTGGGGTGCTGCCAAGGACAATAAGCAGGAGTATAACACTGGAAACAGGGCACGGCTCTAGTTCCCAGTCCCAGACTACAGGCCTTGCCACCCCTGCCCTGTTACAGGTCCCATGTGCTTTAGGGACAACTCTCCCTTGAATGCTAGCCACAGCTCTTGGAAGTCCAATGTTCAAGAAAAGACTGGCTCATTCCTATTTAAATAACGAGCAGACATACCTGCTCGATGACTGACATCCCAAGGTCCTGCTTCCCGTCTAACTAATGCCGTGTCCCAACCGCACTCAACAGACTCGCCATCTGCCCGACTAGGAGTACCTGTTCTCCTCCATCATCTTCAGTATTTCTTCTGATGTGACATTCCTAAAAGCCTCAGATGGGCTCTGAAGAGCTTCATACTCCGCTGGGGAAAGAACTAGTTACAGGTCAAGAACACAACCCAAGACGGCAACACCACCTGGCCAGATCATCATGGCAGTCTCATTTTACGAGCAGGAAAACTGAGGTTCAGAGAGGGGAAGATCACACTGTAAGTGCATCAGGACAGAGCTCAGAAGCTCAGTTCTTGGACTCCCAACCCAGAGCAGGATTTCTGCCTGGGCTTTTCTGCCTTCTTTCTTATCACAAGGTCACTGTAGACCTTTTTCACCTGACCAAATTTATAAAATAGTGAAATTCTAAGCTTTGATCCCTGTTTTTAAGAAACCAGACTGCCCTAGATTGTGGGCATTAGCTAACTCAGAAGTCCTATTTTTACTATTCATGAGTGATTTCACAGATCTGAGCTGTGGGCATTAGGCATTTGGCATTCTGCAAAGGAATGGGTTTGAATCCTGGGGCAAGGCCATAAGCTAGAGAGAAAACCAAGCTGTCCTCCTGGTAACAGCACTGGGGCAACTACAAAGGTTTGGATGTCCCTTTTGTAAATGTCATGGGGTCATGGATGTCCTCAGAGAGCCTGGCTGTGCCATTTATGAGCAAATATCCCCACTTTTGCAATACAGTAGCTTTGCTACCATGAGAAGGATACGATCTTCAAACCTATACACTTCTTCAGGCTTGGCTGCATCCGCATAGCAGGGTGGAAGGTAGAGGGAGTCATCCTGCATCTCGTCCTGCACGGCATCACTGAGCAGAGCTTTTTGATAAAGGAAAAGTGAGTGTCAGTGTCACCCTGTTCGGTTCCAGGTTTCCCAGCACTCTGCAGTCTGTGCACTTGAGACCACAGTGGTCCAGAAACCCACGTCTCAAAGCTTTTTCCAAAGTGACCCAATCTCCCACTCAGGCCAACTGCTCCAGGACTACTATGTCCAGTCATGAAGCAAACACCATCCAGGCACCAGAGAAGTTGGGAGAGATGGATGTGCTAACAATCATCTATAATACAAAAGAAGCTAAAAGTGAGGGACTTTAAAATAACTTTTTAAAAGTAATTATTTTAACTTTATTTTTTATTTATTTTAATTTGACTAGAGAAGGACAGAGAGAGAGAGAGGGAAAAAAAGTGAGAAAGCAAGCTGCCAGGTCTGGGACTTGAACCATGATTGGCCACGTGGGAGACCAACGTCCTTAACTACCATGCCACCTGCTGGCCCCTAAAGAGTTATTTATTTAATTTTATTTCTTTTTATTTTTCAATTTGACCAGAGAGAGCAATAAAGAGAAGCAAAATGAGAAAGCAAGCCGCCAGGTCCAGGACTCTACCACACCACCTGCCGGTCCCTAAAATAACTTTCAATGGCTTAACTTCTAGAAAATTTTGGCATAAATTATTAGTGAAAAAGAAGTCAGATTATAAAACTGTATCTATCCCACAAGAATAACTATGTGGAAGCCAGATGGTGGCACCAGGAGTGGCCAAATACAACATTCTGTGATGCTGACCCACATGGAAAGGCTCTGGGTTTTAAGCCAAAGAAGTCCCTGAGAATGCTGGGCACATGTGTGCCCATGATTGGGAATGGCTGAGCCTGGGAGTGGATTGTGCCACTCTGTTGGGGGCGCCTATCTTTTCTTCATCTCTCTTGCTCATGAGAAAAACTTAAAAAAAATATTATGTAAGAATTAAGTATATATACAGACAGGATCTCATGGAATGCTGGGAATATGGTTGAATTACTTTTCTTTCCTTTTTTTGTTTTTTTTTTTGTTTCTGGTTTTTGGCTTTTGCCATAGGTAGGGTACATGAACTTACCAAAAAAGGACAGAGACAGGAAAAGTGAGAAATCACTCCCCCAGGGGGATCTCCTTTCCATTCTCCTCTTGGGATTTTGGGCACACGCGTACGTGCCCAGCATGATTTTCAAGCCACTGAGTCTGGAACTTGAACCCTACATGGTTAGCCATGTGGCAGTCTAGCACCTTAACCACCACACCACCTGCTGATCCCAGATTACTTTTCTTTTTAAATGTTCTTTAATGCCTGAGACTATATTTAACATGTTGTTTTTTTTTTAAATTATGTAGACATTAATGTTTATCTTTGGGGGCCAGCAAGTGGCATAGTGGCTAAGGTGCTGGATTCCTATAAGGCTGACTGCAGTCAGAATCTTAGCCCTGGCAGCTTGTTCTCCCACATTCCCTCCCTCTCTCTGATTCTCTCTGATGAGCACACCTGCCCTATAGCAAATTTAAAAATAATAACAATAAATTTAAAATGAAAAAGTTTGTCTTTAAATAACTAGAAATACCTGAATAGGAAAACACATTATTGTATTAGGTTGTTGGGAAAGTCATGACGTATTTTTCTATGCTTTTCTATGCAAAAATGCGTGACTTTCCCGATAACCCAATAAATATAGGGAGAAACATCTCCTTCTATTAATCCCAATTGGACTTTTGAGTAAACTTGAAAAAAGAATTCTTAAGACTGCCTAGAAGGGGACCAGCAGTTAGCATAATGGCTATGTCACTGGACTCCCATGTAGTCAACAGCGGTTCAAGTCCCGGACCCAGTGGCTTAGTTTAAGCCAGGCATGTGTGGATGCATGCCCAAGATCCTGAGAGGAGAATGGAGGACAAGGGATTGTGGCGTGGTCATCCCCCTGGGGGGGGTGATTTCTCACTTTCTATCTCTGCCTTTCTGGCAAGCACATGTGCCCTATAGCAAAAAAAAACCTTCTCTAAAAAAAGACTGCCAGCACATGTGCCCTATAGCAAAAAAAAAACCTTCTCCAAAAAAAGACTGCATGGAAGAAAAAACATGCTACAATAGCCAATGAAGGACAAGGGTGAATTTGCCCTATGAAACAGTAAATCAAAAGAGCCTGGTGCTACTACAGGAATAGCCAGTCAGGACAGCAGAACAGACTACAACGAAGCGTTTTAAGAATGCAATAACCGGGGCCAGGAGGAAGCATTGTGGTTAAGGTGCTGGACCCCCACATGGCCACTGCCGTTCAAGTCCTGAACCTGGCAGCTTGCTCTCTCTCTTTCTCCCTTGCTCTCTCCCTCTCTCTCTCTCAGGCACATGCGCCCTATAGCAATTAAGAATAAGAAGAAATAAAATTAAATAATTTTTTTAAAGTGCAGTAAAATGATAAAGGTGACTTTTTTATTTTTAGTTTTTTTTGTTTGTTTTGTTACAGGTGTGTGTGCTCGCGAAAGAGAGCAAAAGAGGGAACATGAGAAATCTCCCCCGAGGGGTGGCACACCACGATCTCTTCTCCCCCCCTCTACTCTCAGAACTTTGGGCACGCACAAGCACCAAAGTGAGTCTCAAGGTGCTTGAGTCTGAGACTCGAACCACAAAGCTGGCCAAAGGGGATCCAGTGTTTTTACCTCCACACTACCTACTGGCCTATAATGATAAGTTGGTAAGCCACCTTTTACAAAAAAAAAAAAAAAAAAAAGAATGGCATTGGGAACAACTGGCTAATCATTCAGAAAATATAAAATTAAAGATGAAATCTTCCAAAAAATAATTATGCCCCAAAATACTTCATTTCTCCATCCTTGTCAGATTTTGGGCACGTGCATGCACACACACACACACATACACACACACTCTTAGCGTGTCCTCAAGCTGTAGAGACCAGGATTCATACCACAGTCAGCCCTGTATCCCTTAACCACTAGGCCACGGGCCAGCCCTGGTTTTAGTTGTTTCTTTTTTTCTTTCTTTTTTTTGGGTAATTGCCAGCTCACCATAGAGAGATAGAGAAGGAGAGAAAAAGCACCCCCTCGGTGAGTGGTGGCCTCGTCACAATCCCTTCTCCACTTCTCCATCCTGTCAGGATTTGAGGCATGCATGCACATGCACCTGGCAAGTCCTTGAAACCACCAGAGCTACACTTCAAACCATGGTCAGCCCTGTGGAATCTGCTCCCTTAACCATTAGGCTATGCGGCCAGCTCCTAAAATTCCATTAATAGAAACCTGCTCTCATAGAAAATTTCTCATATGTTCTTATAACGTATTTGGACACTAAATACATTCTTTAAGTCTATCAATTCATTTTTTCCATGAGGTGGCGGGGAGCCCAATGATGTTTGCACACTGTAATCTATGCCCAGTCTCACCTGGCTGGGATGACAGCTACACACACATGCACCTGGCATGCTCAGAGGTTTAGGATGTGAACCTAGGACCTTTCTGATACGAATCCAGCAGTGCCACCACCATATAACCACTTAACCCTGTAATTTTAAATAAGGGTGTGTTTGGGGGGGGTTGTGGTGGTTAAGGTACTTGTTCCCACATGGCCGACTTCATGGATTTGAGTCCCAGATCTGGTAGCTTGAAAAACATGCCAAGTATTGTGTACATGTATGCCCAAAGTCCCCAGAAGAGAATGGAGAAAGGATTACTAGTGTGGCCATCCCCCCCAGGGGTGATTTTTCACTTTCCCTGTTTCCTCTAGGGTGAGTGTCTGTGCCCTATAGCAAAAAACTGACTAAATAAGTAACACAAGTACTCAAGCTGCAAAGGACCAGAAGATCCTCTGACCCCAAAGTGAAATGCCACCTCTGAAGATTTGATTTTATCATAATCATATTGCCTTTTTGATCAAAGTCTCTATGATTCTTTTCTCTTCTTCATGCCCTGCAGGCTATAACCCTGCACCAAAAACATGCATGGCATGCACATGTCTGTTCCCATGCCTGTCTCCTCTATTTGACTGTGAGCCAGTGAGGGAAGGACCAAGCTGGATGTTTCTTACTACTTCTGGAGTCTGTTCCCAAGAAGGCTCTCAGCCAAAAGCCAGAAGAAATCCAGCCTTGACTCTCATTACTGTAGGGTAGGTAAAAGAGCTCCGGTGGGGAGAGAGTTGTTTTTATGGCCAGACTCTGACTGCAAGGTCCAGCTGCTTACCATTCACACCCTTTGTATCAATGATACTCTCTGCGGCTTTAGCCACTGCACGATTCAAAGATTCATCACCAACTCTGTTCATTCTCCTGGAGTTCAGAGCGCGCTTCTGTTTGGTGGTACCAAAGGCTTCAATGCAAGCATCCATCTGTGCAAGAAACAAACCCAGTTACTGGGAACAGGCCAGACAGGCGCTGCAGCGTTAACCACAGGGAAACTCAGCCTCCCTGAGCCATCATACCTCCCCTGTAACTGAGGCTGAGTCACATCTATCTACTTCATAGGGCTGCTGTTAAGTATCAAATGATATGAACAGATGTGAAGTACTTCATAAGTTATAAAGAGCTACTTACAAATCAACAGTGTTTCCACCAGTAACATGAAGACTTTATGAGACTAACACTGGTAAATCTGTGGCCATCCTGGGGTGAGAGGACCTTTGTACAGGAAAAGCCTAAAGTTTACTTTGTTTTACTCTGAATGTTCCCCCAGGTTACAACCAGTATTTTCTGAAACTTGTGACTACATCCTAAAAACAAGTGTTATGCTGTACCTGTATCAGCCCAGAGAAATGGTTCCAAACACTGGCACAGAGCTGTATTCAGTGGCCCTAGATGGGAGCAAGACTGCTTTCAGGGAACAAGATGCACTCTGCTGGTAGACACTGTTCAGAGAACCACAGACTGAAAGAGCTAGGAGAAGCCAGGAAAACCTGAGTTCCAAATGCTCACTTTACTGATGGAGAAACCCAAGGCCTAAAAGAAACTTGTTTAAGATTAATTAATTAACCTTAATTCCATTACACTCACCTTTTCTCTGAAAGTTTTGGTCTGACTTTCTAGTGTCAGGTCACGCTCAACTGATTCATCTATCAAAACACAAAATCAAGGACAGAGAAAAAGCAACCTATAAGATGTGTAGTATAAACACTACTAGTAATAGCATTTAATATTTTTTAACGGTCTAAGAAAAGACTGTAGGACTTACCTGGGCCTAGATGAAGGCACTAGGAATATTTAATACGCAGCTTCAGTAAACAGAATGTAAGGACTACATTTAGGAGTCAAGTGAAGAGTCATTTGGCCCAATCTCTTCATTTTACAAATAAGAGAAAATGAGGACCCAGATAATGACCCTTCACGGGGCAGTACAACCTATGGACAAGAGCACAAGCTCTAGAGTTCTATCGGCCTGAGTTTTATCGGCTGTACACCCCTGCCTAAGACATCTAACCTCTGTGCCAGTTTAGTCAACAGTAAAAAGGAGCAACAGTGTCCAGCCCGGAGGACTGCTGCGTGAAGATACTGATGCTGTGCACTGAAGGTCTTAGAACACTAACACATAGTAAGGGGGCAATATAAATGCTGCAAATGTGTGCATATAGCTAGAATAAACCATATTTACATGTTTTACACATATAAATATATTCACTCAACAAATTAATAAACAATATTTCTTGATTATTTGGAATTCAGGAAAACATTTGCAGGATGATTTAATAAGTCATACTTGTTTGCAAAGCAGAGGATTCTTTTTTTTTTTTGGAGAGACTTTTGCTTTATGGCATGTATGCTCACCAGAGATAGAAAGAAACCAAGAAATCACCCTCAGGGGAGACAGCCACGCCACAATCCCTTCTCCTCCATTCTCCTCTCGAGATCTTGGGCATGCACACACATGTGCCTGGCATGAGTTTGAAGCTGCCAGGTCAGGGCAATCAATCATGTGGGATTCCAGTGACTAACCATTACGCCATCTGCTGGTCTCCACGGAGAATTCTTAATCTAGAACTTAAGGACCTCTTGTAACTAATTTACAAATAGGCATCAGAACTCAATAGCCCTTTAAAATTACGTGTAAATGGCTGGTGGCATGGTGGTTAAGGTGGCTGGATCTTGCATCACTAACCGCTGGTTCAAGTACCAGACCCATTGGCTCGAAAGACTTGTTGTGCGTGTGTGTGTGTGTGTGTGTGTGTGTGCACTCAAAATCCCAAGAAGACAGATGGAGGACTGGGGTGTGGCCTTCCCTAGAGGGGATGTGCTTTATATATATAAATTTGTATATTATATATGTTTCTAGGAAATGAGCCCCAGTTCTTATTCTCAAAAAGAATGAAACCACTGTTTTCTAGGCATAAAGTTAGGATTAAGGCTTGTGGACCCCAGCCACCATGGTATACAAGTAGTGGTACTGCTTGGGTGGCACAGAGCCACATAGGAGGTCCAGGTTTGGTTCCTGGGCTAACCTAAACACGCTGGACATGGCTACATGTACCTGTAATCCTAGCTAATTGGGAAGCTGGATCTGGTGGGTCCCAACACAAGAATCTGCCAAAAATAACTCACTTGTATTTCTCTCTCTCTCTCTCTCTCTCTCTCACACACACACACACTCTCTCTCTCTCTCTCTCTCACAAAAAGACAAAAAAAAAAAAAAAAACAAAGGCCTCTGGAGGTATCAGGCATTAATGATTCTAAGCGATCTCTCCTTATCTAGCACTCTCCTCAGCCCTCATTCTCAGTATTTAAGGGTATCACTAAAGATTTGAGGGTTTTTTTTGAGAGGTTTTTGCTATAGGGCACGTGCGCTCTCCAGAGAGACAGAGAGATAGAAAACGAGAAATCACCACCATGGGGGATGGCCACGCCATGATCCCTTCTCCTCCATTCTCCTCTCGGGATCTTGGGCACGCATGCACACGCTCCTGGCATGAATTTAAGCCACCAGGTCCGGGACTCGAACCATGGTCGACTACGAGGGAGTCCAGCAACACAGCCATTATGCTAACTGCTGGTCCCACTAAAGATTTGAGTTTTGAGATTTAGAGCACAGGAGCCTCTTTAGTCTGACCCTCTTATTTATCATGTCGGAAGATCCTTCTCTAGGGCTGAGCATGCTAAGATAACAACACAGAGAAACAATGCAACTTCTCCCACTGGACCAGGGAAAAAAAATGGATCTTCCCCATGCTAAATAGTATACAGACTTTTCATCAACATGACAGTGACTACCCAATCTAGAAGCAATTTCTTTTGCCTACCAGAGATTCTAAAACCTGTACCCCAACCAAAATAGGTAAGAATTAAGAAAAGTCTTTGATGGGAAATGCTTTGATATAAGACATGGTCTATAATATACTCTATACTCTGGGCATTATTCAACCTGCTTTAATTACAATTAGTCTCCGATCTCAAGTCTATAAACACTGCATGGACAGGTGTCTGTCTCGCCAACTGCTCTATCAACAGCTACTAGTTTAGTGCTCAGTGTTATAGCAGGTCATCAATAAAGGTTTACTGAATTTAAAAAATCTGTAAAACTTAAAAAAAAAAAAAAAGACAGAAAAGCAGCCTTTAAAAAATAACTACAGGGGAGACCAGCAGGTGTCATGGTGGCTAAAGTACTGGACACTCACATGTGGCCAACCATGGTTCGAGTCCTGAACTTGATGGCCTGCTTTCTCACTCCACCCCTCACCTGGTCAAATTAAAATAAATAAATAAATAAATAAATAAAAATAAAATTAAATATTAAATAAATAAATAACCACAGAGACCAGCAGATGGCATAATGGTTACATCACTGGACTTCCATGCAGTTGACTGAGGTTCGAGTCCCGGGTATGGTAGCTTAAAATTCACGCAGGGTGTATGTATGTGTGCACACAAGATACAAAAAAAAGAAGGGTTTGGTGTGGCCATCTCCCATAGGGGTGATTTCTTGCCTTCTGTCTCTCTGGCAAGAACATGTGCCCTATAGCAAAAATCTTTCTAAAACAAACAAACAAACAAAAACTACAAAATGTGTTTTATAAATCTAAAACTCAAACCAACTTATTCTGAAAATCCAAACTAAGCAGTGTCTATGAATTTTCAAGACAGGGACCTACCTGAAAACAGTGGCTGCATGTTGAACAATTCAGCATCATATACTTCCATTTGACCAGAGGTCTTGTTCAAAATTCCCACAAAGTGCCTAGATAAAGGAGGAATTATACCAGTGACGATGGACTACCCCTAAAGAACTGCTTATACAACTTTCTTTCCTATTTAAAAGTTCTCAGCTTTCCAGGAGTGTCTGCAGTACATGGCCCCTGGGTCTAGGAGCACAGGGACTTGGTAAAGTCTCCCTAGATTCTTCCCAAAGCCTCTAAAATAAAGACTAACAACTGTGTTATAGGGCTGCCAACACCACCCTCCCCACCACCCTTCTGGTCATCCCTTGCCCACCATTACCTGCACAGTGTGTTGCATTTAAGAGCTCCTGTCCCAAAATTGTTTCCCACATAGGAAAGTCTGTCTGTTTCAGCTGCCTAAAATGAAGGAAGGGGAAGGAAGAGGTGGTAGTGGTGGCGGGGGTTTACAACCAATGTTCAGAGGTATTAAACATCATGTCTCAATTTTCTACAGGTGCAGAAACTTTTGCATGCAGAACTACAGTGGATTACAACTAGAGAGCCTCTAGGAATCAGCCCCACTACTTCTAATCTGGGGTAACCTTTGGAGAAAGCCAGGGAACTTTCGGAAGGGAAGCCTCAGATAGTGCTGGCATCTAACTAGTATCAAAAGTCCCTCACTCCATCCCACACCAAACACTCCCAGGCCTGGGAGTAGTCAACCGCAAATGCGGCCAACTGCAGCGCTTACCAGGATCCGTTGACTCCTCTTCCTGGGGTTCGTGGAGTCGCTGCTCTTGTACAAGGTAAAGCGCATGTTGCCTGGATTCTGTAGCTTTCCATTGGAGAACTGGACTGTAAAAGGGTACCCCGAGAATGAGATGAAACATGAAGGACCCACGCTGTATGGTCCATACTGCCGCTGGGAGGGAGTGACTTTTGGAATGGGGACGGCAAGGAAACTCAGGTCCTGGCCTCAGGGCGGACCGGAAGAAAGTCCTGGTCCAGTTGGAAAGAGGGAATGGGGTATGTGTGTGTAGGGGGGAAATTCCGGGGAAGAACTGTGACAACAGATAATGGGGGAATGAGGCTGATGCTGAGGACGGGTACAGACCTAGAGAGAGAGGGAACTCTACACAGGGAAACCGGGCAGCGAATACAGGGTTCACGGCACAGCCCCGGGCAAGGGTGGCTAGGAAGTCCTTATCCAGACGAAATGGCGTGATGACAAAGGGAGCACTGGTCGGCCCTCAGGAAGTGACAGGACTCGAGCGGGTCTGGGCCCAGCTGCGTAGGGGTCCTGACGGAGGGCGGAAGGACCGCAGAGGTACCGAGATGGAAGGGAGGATTACGGAGAACTCCGCTATGGCTCACGGTCTTTACCCAGTACGGCTCTCTGGCTCTCGTCGGGCTCCCCGCAGTACAGCCACCTCGCACTCGGCAACACCTCTGCCGCCATCTCGTCTACCTGGCGGCCAAGACCTGGAGTTCAGGCCGCGGCTCACCAGCACAGTACCAACACGCGGGAGCCCAGGCAAGCTAACGGGCCGGAAGAGGCGTGGCCCCGCTAGGCACCACCCAGTGTCTGGAGAACGCGTAGCTCCGCCCCGAAGCGCTAGACGCGCCGTGCCCACCCCGCCCCCGCGCGGAGAGGCGTGGTTCCCGTCAACACCCCCGGCGGCTCCGAGGGTAGCACCTGATTGGCCCAAAGCTCCGCCTGCGCAATAGTAATTTCGTGGGGCCAAGGGCCCCAGTAACCTGGAGCTTTTGCAGCTTCAGCCTAAGCTTCGTGTGGGGCGCCTTATTGCTCAGCACGGTCACGCTAGAGTAACTCTTGTCTCTCTTGTGACAGATATATCCTCCCAAGCGCTGAGAGGCCAAGTGCGAATTTAGAATTCTCTGATAGGAACTCTCGAGCCTCAAGTAAATGAGACCGATGGGGAAGAGCCGCCCCTCTCTAGCGCCTGCCATTTGCACAAGAGGGCATCCGGCGGTAAATCCAAGCTTTGTACACAACCCTGCAAGCAGCTCCCTGCTATGAGCCCTCCTCGGGCAAAAGCGTCCACATACCTGTGGCTCAGTCTAGCCGGGGAGGATGGGGGCCGCTGGGGGGTGG